GATAGGCTATCTGGGTGTATTTTGTAATGAAGATGGTGATTTAAATTAAACTATTGTAGTATCTTACCTCTGAAGTCTGAACAATTGAAAGTAAAGCAAAACGAAAAATATAACATATTATACATCACGTTTTTTTGAATGTCACCAACAAACAAAAAAAAGACAAATAAGAGTTCCATAATGTAAATTTATCCAATATTTTTATAGAAAATGTAAAAAAAAAACAATTCATCCATGTTAAGACTATTTATACAATTTCGTAAATTTTTATGTAGGATATATGTTCCGATGTTTATAGCCAAAAATAAAATACAACAAAGTGGTTGGTAAATAGAACAAACCTAACCAAGTACTTAATGATTTGAGTGCTGAATCATAAAATAACCAATATCAAACAAAATTAGATTAGTTTGCTTTAGGACAAACGAATTAGTAAAAATTTTAATATCATCAAAAATATGGTATGTTTTTTAATTTGATTATGTAACTCATGTTCATGTGATATTGATGTAGAATAATAACCAAATATCTGAAGAAAATATTTATTTTAACAAAGTTTTCAAATTTGTATATTAGGATGACTAATTTCTTAGAAAGACTAATCAAATCACCAATTTATCAGATTACAAATATATATTCATATATATATATATATTTTATACAAAAAACCCCGCATATCTACGCAGTTATTCATCTAGTACTAATAAAAGTTGAAGCTATAGGCTTTTCAAAGCGTCCACATAGGATTTAAAATTTCAATTCTATTGGTCCACATCAACAAAAATAAGAAAAGTTTACAAATTCTAATATTATTGTTTAATAAGGAAATTAAAAAAGTTTACAAATTCTAATATTATTGTTTAATAAGGAAATTAAAAAAGTTTACAAATTCTAATATTATTGCTAAATAAAGAAATTCTCTATAATTTTTTTATTGGTCTACTTCAACAATGAAAAATAAAAAATTTACAAATTCTATTATTTTTTAAAAAAAATTATTAAAGATAAAGAAATTATATATAATTTATATTAATAATAAAAAACTAAAATAAATAATATTAAAATAGGAAATTTTTTAAAATTTAAATTAGATGTATACACATATTTAGAGACTCTTACATTAGCATCCAATTTTTGTAACATATAATAATTTTGAAATTTTTTTTCTGTATGTGCAACCATATCAAAAAAAATAAAAATAGAATTTGTAAATTTTCCTTATTTTTCAAATATTATTATTGTTTTTTTTTTAAAAAAATTATTTAAGATAAAGAAATTATATATAAATTTAAATTAATAAAAACTAAAAATAAAAATAAGTAATGTTAAAATAGATGTATACACACATATTTAGAGATTCTTACATTAGCATCCAATTTTTTATCACATAATTATAATAATTTTAAGTTTTTTTCTGAGTGTATAACTATGTCAAATAAACCAAAAAAAAATAGAGTTATGTTTCACAAAAAAAAAGAATCATTACAACATAAAAAAACCAACGTGACTAAAATATATGTTTAACTATTTGCTAAATTATAAAGAATATAATGGAAAGAGATATAAACAAAGCCACTACAAATATTGAAAAAAGACTATAAAATCTCCAAAGCTTGGCCACTGAATTTGAGAAGAATAATATATTCTAAGCAATCCGAAAAACATGTCAAATGATTGATACTCGACACTTTTGAAAAACGTAGCAGTGAAAATAAAAAAAGAGGTTTCATCATTAAGGCAAATATTGATACTCGACACTTTTGAAAAACGAAGCACTGAAAATAGAGAAAAAGGTTCCATCATTTAAGCGAAGGAGACTAAGGTATTCGAGGAAGATTTTTTTGAAATTACATGGCATCTATCGGAGTTTTAACAACCTAACATGAACCACTAAGGTAACATCCGAATACATTCGGTAAGCCTCAAAACAAAGAGGCTTTTAAATTTTATTACTAAGAAAAGTTAAAGCTATATGCCTCTAAGAATATCCACATAGAATTTAAAAGTTCAATTCTATTGGTCCACATCAATATTTAAAATTAATTTTTTAAAAAAATCCAATTATTAACAAAAAATTATATTTATAGAAAAATAAAAGTTGAAGCTATATGCATCTAATGACATCCACATAAGATTTAAAATGTTAATTTTATTAGTCTACATCAATAACTAAAATTTAAAAAAATTCTAAATTATAAAATTACATTTTTAATACAAAACAATATAAGAAAATTGTTAATTAAAATTCTTAATAACAGTTAAAGCTATATTATTTTCAATATTAAACTAGGAAAATTGGAAAATCTTGAATTTAAATTAGATCTATGCACATATATTTAGGGGCTCTTCATTAGCAATCAAATTTTTGTCACATACTTTAATAAATTTTAAGTTTTTTTTCCCTTTGTGTGCAACCATTTTAATTAAAAAAACAAAAATATAGAGTTAGGTTTCACTAAAAAATGAGTTATTACAACGTAAAAGAACAAATTTGACTAAACTATCTGTTTAAATATTAGCTAAATTACAAAGAATACGATGAAATGAGATATAAACAAAGCCACTACAAACTGCTTTAATATTGAAAAAGAGACCATAAAATCTCTAAAGTTTGACCATCGAATTTGAGAAGAATGATAAATTCCAAGCAATCCAAAAAACATGTCAAATGATTGATACTCAATACTTTTAAAAAATGAAGCACTGAAAATAGAGTAAGAGGTTCCGTCATTAAGGCGAAGGAAACTGAGGTATCCGAAAAAGATTTTTGGAATAATATGGCATCTAACGGGGTTTTAACAACTTAATCTGAACCACAAAGGTCACAATTAGCTGACCAAGCAATATCTGAATACATTTGGTAAGTTTCAAAACAAGGAGGAGAGACCAAAATCACTTGCCGTAAAGGGCCTCATGTGAGATTTTCCACCTTTGATTTCTAAATCTATTACTAATAAAAGTTAAAGTTATATGTCTCTAAAAGTGTCCACATAGGATTTAAGAGTTTAATTTTATTGGTCCACATCAATATTTAAAATTAAAAAAATTCCAAATTTTAAAATTATATTGTTAACAAAAAATTTATTTATAGAAAAATTTATAAAATAATACTGTTAACAAATTTTTTATTATTAATAACAGTTAAAGCTATATTATTTTCAACGCATCCACATCAGCATTTAAAAATTTAATTTTATTCGTATATATCAAAATTGTAATTTTTTAAAAAAAAATTATAATTCTAATATTATTGTTAAGAAAATAAATTAAAAACTAAAGAAATTTCTATTAACAAAAAACAACATGATATTCAAATCTTCAATATTACTGTTTAAGTTATAAATTTAATGGGGGAATTGCTAAAAATAGGCCACAATATGATTCCAAATGCAAATGTATACCCCAAATTCAACCTATTGCAAAAATATGTCAGAAGGGTAGAGAAATTACCATTATCTCCTACATGAGTAAACAATAAAACGGATGTCTCAATTACGATTATAACCCTTCGAAGTCTGCAAATACTAATGAAGTCTGCTCAGCAGACTGATAAAGAAGTCTACTATAATATTAAATATTATTTTAAAATTTAAAAATTATATAAAAATAATGTAAACTGAAGTTTATTTCCATAAATCAAATGTCAACAAGTATGATCTATAAAATTATAATTTAATAAATATGAATCATTTTTAACCATCTAAGTTAAACATAAAAAGTTAAAACTTTTAAACTAGGGCTGCAGAGCAGACTGATAAAGAAGTCTGCTATATTATTAAATCTTATTTTAAATTTTAAAATTATATAAAAATAATGTAAACTGAAGTTTGTTTCTATAAATCAAATGTCAACAAGTATGATCTATAAAAATTATAATTTAATAAATATGAATCATTTTTAACCATCTAGGATAAACATAAAAAGTGAAAAGTTTTAAACTAGGGCTGCAGACTTCTTTATCAGTCTGCTCAGCAGACTATGGATCGAAGTCTAGTCAAACCAGAATAATTAACCTAACCGGAATTTTTAACATAGTATATAAAGAAACTTACCAGTCGTTACCATAAATAAAAAAAACCTAGATCACTGTAAAACGGCGCTGCACTCTGGTCCCTCTCGCCGCGACTCTCTCTCGCAGTAAGCCTTTCCCGGCGCTCCCCATCTCTTCTTTTCTGTTTCTGATGCATATGTTGTTTCATATATATCACTACATATATTGTTGCTGCAGATCTCAGCCGGCGTCTTCATCGTTCATAGTTATCTCTCCAGATCTGTGAGTTATTCGCCATTACATTCTCTGTTTAGTCCGTATCTTATTGTTTACTGGTTTGTCCTTTAAAATTGTTCTTTTGTTCTTTTGTCCTTTTGCTTTACTGTTTTTTTAACAGATCTAAGTAAAAATACTTTTTTCACAGATTCCGTGAGCAAGTAAGTAAATATTTCGATTTTTTCTTTATTTCAAGATTTACCTTTTTTATTATTTTGTTGTTTAGCGAGTAAGAAATATTTGTTTGGAAAGCTTGTTTTTGTTGTTTTGTTTTTAGCTGCAAAGTTATTATGTGGTCGTATCTGTTTTAGTTTTTTGTTTGTTAACTTCCAAGTTTGTTTGCTTGATCTGTTCAGAGTAATACCGATAAGCTACACCAACAGCTCATCTTCCAAAGCAAGCTATGACAGCGGGTGTGCCAAAGCTGATGGAGACTTTGGGATACCTGAATGATGCTATTGCGGCCTTCGATGTAGATTGGAAGAGTCTACAGCTCCAGAGACGTTTGGCAGGAAGTTCTATAGTTGCCCTGAAATATTAGGCGAATGTGTATAGTTTTAATGAGGTTTTTCTCAATATGTGTATAGTTTTAATGTTATTCATCGAGTATAACTGAAGTTTTCGTTTGTCATATGTGTAGGATAAACCGGGTCACATCTCCAAATGGTGGGATCTAGCCATTGAAGAGCAGCTGACCATTCTTCAAATACGAATTGACAAGCAGAGCGAAAGGATGTTCCGTGACAACCGAACAGCCCTCCTGCAATCATATGAGAATCGGTTGTATGCATTGGAGGATCGCCTTGCTGCAACCGAGAAGACCATTAGCGAGATCGAGGAGTTCATAGGGTTCATTCAGAGTGAAATTGTTGGAGTGAAAGAAGCACTTGCTAATCGAGGTTCTGATATCCTACTTTGTGTTTTTTTAGTTATTTTTGCAGTAATCTCTTGTGTTTTCATGCGTTGGGAAGTAGAATAGAGGACCAAGAGACTTGTGTAACCTTTAAGTAGACTAGTTGGGATAAAACATATGTGTTTGACTTCTATGGTGATTAATGTTGGTGTTTACTGTTGCATATACATTGTTCGTATACTGGGGAATCTATGTGCACTTTGTGTATTGTGTACATATGCAGGCCGTGAGTTAAGGGTCTCTACATACAATCTCTAAAACTACTTTTCATATGATATTAATAAAAAACACATGCAGACTTCGTAGACAGACTTCTTAAACAGACTTAATATGCAGACTTCGTAGACAGACTTCTTAACCAGACTTAATATGCAGACTTCTTAAGCAGACTTAATATGCAGACTTAATACGTCGAATAAACTAAACCAGATAGTTTTAAAATTATATTGCAAACCAGCTATAATTGGCTAAACCAATTGCGTTTAAATAACGAAATCGATAAACCACATTGAACTGGTACGACGGTTATTGAACTGGTACGACGGTTATTGAAATGGTACGATGGTTATTGAACCGGTACAACGGTTAAATAGGTTTCTACGGTCATATATAAGACTTTCTATGAACACTGTACTAACACAAATCGGTAAAAAAAAAACTATTGTCGTTTGGGTTTAGTTCTCGGAACTTGTCGCTGGTTTTTACAGTACATCCGTTTACCGTTTAAGGTAAGTCGAATTTAATGCCGACTTCTCTTTTGGATAGAAGTCGTCTGTGTAATTCACAAACCCTAATCTCCTTCGCTTTCTATTCTAGATCTGGTGTCGCCGCCGTCCGTAACTGTTTATTTCCGCCATTCCGCCGTTGGTCGTGGAAAGGTATTTGGCTGTACTAATTTCTTATAATTTGTAAATAAATATCTTTACGGGTTCCAAGTTCCTGGTCGTTTGGGTTTCTACATCGGTTTTTATAAAAATCGGACAACACCGAGTAGATATTTCCAAAGTCGGACAAAAATCGAATACCCGTTTCCAAGTTTCTAGTTGCTGTGAATTAGAGATATCTGTACTTTTTTTTATTTATTAAACGGACTTGTATAGTGTTTAGGCGAACTATTTTGGAAGTATTATCTCGTAAAAAGGAGTTCAAAACGGAGTTCAAAACGGGTTGTGTTTTTTTAGATAACTTTGTCGGCGGCTAGATTTTTGAAACTTTTTTAATTACACTATTAGGTCTATAGACTTCAATTGCAGACTTAGTTGGCTGACTTCGTGTGCAGACTTCTTCGGAAGTCTTCATAAGTAGACTTCTTGAATATTGGACTTCGTTTTGCAGACGTCAGAACAACCAATGGAAAACCCAGAGTTCCCCCCGCGTCTCTTCTCGAAAGGCGATGAGCCGTCTCCGCTGAAAAGCATCGGTTACTATAGCAGTGAGACGAAGCTGATGACTGCACTTGAGGAAGCACTCACACAAGATGAGTGGGAAGAGATATTGAACTCTAGACTGGGAGTGTTCTTGAAGTTCAGTCAGTTGGATTTCGGCTGGGCATCTAGACTGGTCCATTACATTCTCGGCATGCAGCTAGTTTGCAAGAAAAAATTTGAGATTTGGAGCCTCGTAGGTCTAATCCCGATCCGCTTTTCTTTGAATGAGTTCAAACATATTACTGGCTTGAATTGCGAGTACGTGGACAACCTCGAGGATCCGGTGGTTGAGATAATTGATGAGATGAAAGATTTCTGGGAGCGATTGGGAGTCAATCAGGAGTTGGGCCCGAGCACTGAAGATTTGATAGAAGCTTGTAAGGAATGCGGGTCGTGGTCTGAGGATCGGTTGAGGCTGGGATACCTTAGCATTTATACTAGTTACATTGAAGCACGAAAGCCATCTTCAGCTACTCGGGCTAGGTTGGCAAGGCTTGTGATAGATTTAGAAGCGTTTGAAAACTACCCTTGGGGAAGAGTGGCCTTCAAAAACCTGATGCGGTCGGTGAAGGAGAAAGAAATTTGGAAGTCGTCGTACACCATTGAGGGGTTTGTTCAAGTACTACAAGTCTGGGTTTACTTTGCTCTTCCCGACTTTGCTGCTAAATTTGGTGAACCACTTCCAGGCGACCACAATGTACCGCTGATAGCTTTCAAGGGATCCAGGGGGAGGAAATTTATGAAAGAGAATATGCTCCGACAGGTAAGTAGTCTGAATTCATACTTGGTTGACTATTATATCGGCAGACTTATTTAGTAGACTTCTACTGCAGACGTCTGTAGTATACAGCAGACTAATTAGGCAGACTTCTTAGGCAGACTTCTTAGGCAGACTTCTTAGGCAGATTTCTTAGGAAGACTTCTTAGTTTTGATTTCCGCATTATACGTTATATAACTCTGTTTTGATTTCCATGTAGACACGCATTAACAACTACGTTGTTAAGGAATTCTTCGACATGTTTCCGCGCTGGGAAATTGAAGACGATGATGAAGAAGACGAGAGGACTGACAACATCATCAAAGCGATGTATGGTCATTTTGGCCCTAAACAATGGACATGGGAAAGGAGTCATTGGCCTCCAACAGGTGTGACCAAGTATGTCAAGTCCGAAGGGTCTGTCGATCTGAAGAGGCGATCGGAATCAGTTGGTGATCAAGGAAGTCGGAAGCGGTTCTGCCCAGCCTCTGGTGAGGAAAATGAGTCAATGGTCACGATTCTGAAGGACCACATGGACGACTGCTTCAACAAGATGATGGATGGGTTGAGTAGTTGTGAATCTCATATCAAACTACTCAACACAAAGTTGGGAACGGTGGAGCACAAATTAGAGGCAGTGATCCTCCAAGCTGGGACCGGAGGTACAAAGGAGGATGTGGCTCAGACTGGTGAAGCAGACGCCGAGGGCGCAAAACCTGTTGGCGACGATCAAACGGACGCGGAAGCCGATCCTAATATCGGGGTTAGTCCAAAACCCGCTCCAAAGAAAAGAGGAAGGAAACCCCGGAAAAAATTAAAATTCCATATTTGTTTTCAAACTTCTCATCGAACCTTACCAATCTGTTTAAAAACCTTAAAAATGTTGTCACCACTAAATATTTAATGTTTTTATTTGTACTCTTTAATGTTTGATGTTTGGTTTCGTTTCATTGATGTGTGTTTAAATCTTTATATTTGCAGAGTAATTTTATGTCTAAGCAAAATGAACAAACTGATGTTCCAAGTGAGAGCGTGAACGATGGTACGCAGGGAACTCCAGAGCCAAGCGTCGTTATGGTTGATCCAGCAAAATGCGACATCGACTTCGATCAGGTCCAGAAAGATAAACACGAGAAAGGCAAGAAGGCGGCACAACTGGTTGCTCGTGCGAAGAGTGAACGTCTACGAAAGTTGGCTCCTACACAGCAAAGCCCGTTCAAACCCAACAACACAGCGAAGGAAATAATCCCAAACAAAAATGTCCGAGGGTGCGGATATGATCCGTTTGATATGAAACACGTGAAGCAAAAGATCGGTGTGCTAACTGATTGTCTGAAAAAGATTCGTAAGTCTTTGTTTTAGAGTTAGCATAAAGCAGACTTTCCATTGTAAGAGTAGTGGATGATATTGTAAAATGGTGGTGTTTTCAGGAACTATCTGAAGTGGGTAAAATGGTCATCCGTGGACTGGTACTTCATTCTAAGAGTTCCAAAACAATGGCTAGCAGACACTGTAAGTTACGCGAGTGTATATATGATATGAACACAACATATTACTCTCTGCTTGAATAATTGTTTTCATTGAATATGCAGCACATGGAAGCTGGGATTAACCTACTCAGGCTGCGATTTACAAAGCATCTTGAGTGGTTTAGGTCCGACAGGATAACATTTCCTCGACTCTTACTTTGCAACGATGTGGAGGTACAAGTACAAGGAGTTCGTGGACTCTCACGCCAACCCTGATGGTTTAGGCAAGCTCCTTCCAGCTGGCTCGTTCGAGTACTACACTGGCGCAGCCCCAACCTACTGCGTTAGTAACAAGACGTGGGGGTATGATGTGGATGACCTGTACTCGATGTTACACATCACTGATGATCACTGGGTGGCAATGTGGATTTCGATTCCGATGAAGCATATTGTCATTTGGGATAGCCATGCGATTACTCATGCATCGGATATTCAGATTGAGGCTGCTGTGACTCCGATTACCGTCTTGGTTCCCTACATACTCCGTGAGTGTGCACCTGCTGAAGACCGTATCAATCTGACTTATGATCCATTCACGTGGGAGCGAATCAAGGGGCATTTGATCCCACAAAACAAACAAAGTGGTGACTGTGGCGTTTACTACTTGAAGTACCTTAAATGCCATGCTCTAGGGATGCCATTTCCGAAGACCTTGTGCGATGCAAACATTAAAAACATCCGAGACAAGCTGGCAGCCGAGATATTTGACGAGACAGGAGTAATCGGCACAGAGAAGTATGAGTATCCATGGCTGGACGTATACGAAGGTAAGTGATATGTCCAACTATGTATATTCTGTAATGAAAGAGAAAGGACTCTCGTTGGGTGTGGTATGGTTGGAAGTTTTTGGTTAACCTGCCAGAATTGTTGTTCTCTTATTTAACTGTAATGTTCCTAACTAATTTCGGTTTGTTTAGTAATATTTAGAACAATGGTGTGGTTGTATGTTTTGGAGGCTAAACGCTTGTAATAGACTAGTGTGGCTTTTGTGATAATTCACGTACTCTAAGGTTTACCCTAATCATAGCTTACTATATCGCATAGTTTATGACAATAATTAAGAATGATCGTACATAGACATGAAACAGAGTTTAGTTCAGTAGTGTTTCCCTTACCTGGTGAAGCAGACTTCTTGTGCAGACTACGGTAGAAGACTTCTAGTTGTAGTCTTCAGTGTAAGTCTGCTATTATAGTTTTAGGGTTTTATCTTGACTTCAACGACTGCAAAAAAAAAACAGAGGAAATTAACTTCGACCAAATGTAACCCTTAAAGTATGAGGTAACATAACACTTACACAATCCGGTCTAGTATGTCCTGGTTGGTGACATTTCAAACAACTGTACTGTTTGTGGATCTTACGGGGTTTCTTTTGCTTATGCCTCGAAATTTCCAGCCAAGTTTGCCATCTTGACTTCCTCTGCCTGCCTTTTTTACGTCGGACCTCCGGAGGTAGACATTGTGTTGTTTCATCGGTTATCATTGCAATGCTTGGAGGATATATATTATGCGAGTACACTGCATACAAGTAATCTTTGGAGTATGTCGGGCATACAAGAGTGGCCAGATGCATATGCATTGCATCTGAAACGGCTATAACATGAGAGCTAGGTATTTTCTCAATATCATACACGCCACACCCACACTTTTGAAGTTCCAAATCAACGACTCAGTTATGTGATCCTCCTTTCACATTGAATCGCCAACCATCTATGCCTTCAACCGTCAACTTATCAGCATAATGTGAACGAATTGCCAACAAATATTCAACTCCTCGAGTATGGTTGGTTGGAAGACTCAAAGCATCTTCCCGCCTTTTACAAAACCACTTTTTTAGCTTCGCCCGTAAGTACTCCAACAGGAATACTATGGAAAATCCCCGTGCCCGTTTGAGAGCAGAGTTGATAGACTCTGCGATGTTGCTCGTCTTTATATTGTATCTATCACCTGGAAAGTGAACTCTTGACCACAACTGAATGCCTGCCTCCTCCAGGTACGTTGCAAGGTCAGGTTTTATATGCCTTATCTCGTCCATATAACGGTTAAAATCATGTACCGTATATGCATACGCAACACGTTTGACTAAGTACATAAGATGCTTCCCCTTAAACTTAGTGACAATATTGTGTTGCAGATGATAATAGCATATACCGCGTGTTACCCATGGTAATACAGTCTCACATGCCTTCTTAATGGAATGATGCCGGTCTGAAACTATCACCAACGGATACTCGTCTGTAAAACACTCCCGCAATTTTCTAAAAAACCATTCCCATGCGTGATCATTCTCAGAGTCCACTATTCCAAAAGCTAGTGGAAATATCTGGAAGTTACCATCTTGTGCTGTGGCCACTAGCAGAGTCCCTTCATACTTTCCAGTCAGATGACACCCATCGACAACAATGACCCATTCTCCAAATACAAGAGGCAACTGAGCCGCCATCTGCAAAAAAGGTAAACCACACAAGATAAACCGTGTTTTCCAAGTAACATATAGAAGTCTGCTATAATCGGCTAAACGTCTAAACATTCAAGAAAATTCATCACTTTCTAATTATAACACATATCAACGTGAAACTCACGTATATGGAACCAAGAAAGGCAGATCAACATGTCCAAACAATATATTTATTTTAGCATATACCATTAATTCGAAAACAAATTTTTTGTTAAAATAATTAGGCAGACTTCAAATGTTGTCTGCTGTGTTATTCTCCTTCGCCAGGCAGACTTCAGAGGCAGACTTCTTTTGAAGTCTGCTAATATGTGCCAATTACCGTTCAAATCTACAAAAATTATAACTATTAATGTATAACACATAAGCATACAAAATTAATACAGGTAAAGGAAATATACCTTCTAAACAAGAATAAAAATTAAAAAAAAATTTCATCACACAAAAGTTTTTAAAAAGTACTTTTTAAAAACGAAAAAAATGCAGACTTCCAGCAAAACTCCACCGGTTGCTTTCACGAAGAAGTCTGCCAAAAAGACATGGTTACTTTTGCAATTGACCAAATGTTTGACTTTCGTAATAGACTTCTATATGAAGTCTGCATAAGAAAAAGGTTATTTCTGTAATTGACCAAATGTTTGACTTTTACAGCAGACTTTTAAAGAAGTCTGCTGTAAGAGGCAAGAAGTCTTCTGTTAATGTGAAGTCTGCTGACGAAGTCTACACTACCAACGAAGTCTGCTGCAGGTTATTTCTGCAATTGACCAAAGTTTGACTTTCATAGCAGTCTGCTGAGAGGTTATTTTTGCATTTGACCAATGCTGAATTAAATTAATCATAATTCGTAGCTGACTTCTTTAGACGTCTACTCGAACAGTCAAAGGTGGTCAACATCTTGGTCAAATGCAAAAATAACCTTTCAGGTCAAACTTATCTTTTTCAGACGTCTCCACGAAGTCTGCAGAAAAGGTCAAAGTATAATATTTTTCGGTCAAATGCAAAACTATTCTCGCTTTTCGACAGCCTGAAATAGAAGTCTAAACGTTGTTTTTTTGTATTCAAATGAAAATTCGCTGACTTACAAAGAAGTCTACTTTCAAAAAAATACCAAAAGGTCAATTGCAAATCTAACATTTTACGTTGACTAGCAGACTGTAAAAGAAGTCTACTTTCGCGAAACATAGCCCAATGTTAAAGAAAAGATTTAGATGTTTACCTCCTTCCAATTTGAACTCGATTAACTTTGACAGAAGTTCAGAATTTTTGAGATGCACTGAAAGGAAACCAGCCCAGAACTCGGTTATCCAAGAATCTCACAAAATATATGATTTGCGAATTCAAACATAACAATGTCGACCAAGAAAGAGATTTTTAGATGAAACCAGATAGAAATTTGAAGAGAGAATGAAGTTTGAGCGGCCAAATAAGCATTTAGAGCTTCAAGTGCAGATGGGCAAGCATTAAGAGCTTCCATTTTGGTTGGTAATGGTAGTTGGCGAAATTGAAAATGATGGCATTTTCGTGAATACTTGAAATATCTTAGGATGGTTATGTCTTTTTCGAATTACCTAAAAAATTCGATAATTATAAATATAATGGCATTTATGTTATTATATGTGGCTTTAGGGAGAAAGTGGGGAGAAACTGGCTAATATTGAAGAGGGAGATAAAAGAGGTTAGATTTGCATTTGACTTCAATTTTGAGGTCATATGTGCAAGAAGCCCTAAATTTAATTTGTTATCTATAATAAAAATATATCCTACTTATACAAGATTAAGTTACTTGATTTTAAAGCTTTTCACGTAAAATTTTAAATAACTAATAATCATGATTTATATTCATCTAAATTTTTGTTACATATGCAAAACATATTTTCACATAACCTCATGTAATATATAATGTGAAAATAAACGAAAAATTACATTTTGTATATTCGATTTGGAATTGCAATAGATTAATAGAAATTCTTAGTTTTTATTTTTTCAATTGTTATTAATTTTTCTATATTTGTATGTATTAAATTGTACCGGTTTTGCTTACGTAATTATAATTAGAAAAAGTGAGAATGAATATAATAAAACTGAATATAATCATACAAAAATTATCAAAATATATAAATAAGATTGAAAAAACATATATAACAAGAATAAAAATGAACATGATGAAAAAAAATTTCATTCTTATTAGAAGAGATGATGTATAATCATTGAAAAATTAATTAAAATTTAATTCAACCAATTGAATAAAATATTTTAATTCACATATTTTGTGTGATTTTATTCATATCATATTCAACTATTATTTTGGTTTCAAAACTAAAGCTGTTATTAATCTCAAAGTAAATATTTTATTATTAGTTGTTTTTTAAATTAATAAATCAAAACAAAATTTTGTATTGGTTAAACAAGAGCAGAAAAGATTAAATTTTAATTTTATTTTTTAAATAATATATATATATATATAATTAAAATAAAAGTGAAAATGATAAAAAAACGATTTTTTATTCTTGATTTAAAGAAGTGAATGTATAATATTTTATCATCATATCAATACTATGTTTAAAAAGTAGCATTTGATTAATTTGTAAAATTTTTAGGTAGTTTGAGTACATATATTAACTAATAAGTGTTTAATAAAATAAACATTTTTGAAATACGACATATATATATTAAACAAAACTGTTAAAATATTACAATTTACATTAAAATTATTATATTAACATTATTATATTTTTAATATATTATCAAAACACTAATATATAAAATTTATATCATCATAGATGTAGTTGATTGTATATAATTTTTATCAACAAAATACCCACGCGTAATGTGGACGCAAAATCTAGTATTAATTATAAATAAATAATCATCTATAAATTGACCACCACTAAATTAATGATAGTTAAGATTTTTTAACAATTTTCTTTGGAAAACGGCGTTTATATAAAAAACCAGAAGTCGTTTAAGATCAAGGTAATAGACTAATAGTGTTTGATATTTGTGTGTTTAATCATATTTGTTATATGCTTTTGTTCTGGGTTTGACATGAATGAATCGAAATCAACTTTTAAATCAGGGGTTGACATGAATGAACAGATTGCATTTTTGTCTTTGTCTCCTAGGTTTAAACTATTGTCTCTTTTATTCTGAAATGGAAAACAGAAACTTTTATAACCAATGATAGTTTATGAGAAACAATCAATTCACTTAACCGCCGGTTCAACATTTCAATCTGTCTCCCACCAAAGGTCGTTAAAAGTCTCAACCGCGTCTTCGTCTTCCTCTAACCTCTTCTTCTTCTTCTTCTTCTACTTCTCTCTCAGTTGAATTCTCGATTAATCGTGACCGGAGCATATGGCGGAGATAGGATCGCGATCGCGACGAACAGAGGTTTGTGAATCTCTCTCTTATCCTTTTTTTTTTTCGTTTTCGTATTTTTTTATTGTATTAGGTTTTTTTTTCCCCCGATTTTTGAAGATGAATTATGTGAAATTTCGTAGATCAATTTGGCTACAATATGCTGCTCAGCTTTCTCCTGTATCCATCTCTACTGGGCACGTCTTGTACTCCGCAAATGGCTCAACGTTTCTTCCACTGAATCAGATTATAGCGCCGATACTGACGACGACGACGAGAGATTCACCCTTTCCGGCGACCAAGGTTAGCCTCAAATCTGATTCCGGGAATGAAATTAGTCTTTTAGGTAGTTTTTCGCAGCTCTATGTGACTGAATTTGAACCTGGTGTAGCAGAATTTGACCCACGTAGCTCTGGAGTAACCAAAGATGTTGCTATTGATGGTAATGTGATTCGATAACTCTCAGCTCTCATTTTTTTGTATTGCATATTCAGATTCCGTTTTTGCTAATTTTTTATATTTGAAACTAATCTCAGATGCCCCTAAGCTTAGAAGACGAAATTCGGAAACTTTCAGGGTGCAGTATATGTTCACACAAGCAATCAGGTCTTTGATTTTCTCTACTTTATTATCTGGCATCATCAATGTTGGCCTTTCTGATTCTTGATGTTTCTGCTATATTGTTGAGCAAAGTTCCACAGCTTCTCTTGTTGCTTAACTCCACTCGTAGTGAATCCCTGGTGTTATGTGGTTTTGATGTAGCTAGAATCTGTGCGGGGACATGGAATGTTGGTGGAAGAGTTCCACCGGCTGACTTGGATATCGATGGTTGGCTAGACACTGTTGAACCTGCAGACATTTATGTTCTTGGGTATGGTTTGTATTCTCTGAATCTTTCGTTTTAACTACCATGGTGAAAGGAGTTTTGTATTCAGTGTTTATGATTCAAATGCGGTTCGTTTCACTTTCAGTCTTCAGGAAATCGTTCCCTTAAATGCCGGAAACATTTTTGGTATTGAGAATGACCAGCCTGCTTCTGAATGGGAGAATATTATACGGGATGCCTTAAACCGAGTTCGACCTAGAAAGCTAAAGTTTGTAAGTCATAGTGATCCTCCTTCTCCGTCAAAGTTTAAGCCATCCAAAGAGGTCTCTTACAGCGTGCAAGATCTGTATGTTGAAACCAGTCATGGTGCTTGCGATGCGAATTGTTCAATGGATAGACCAATCGTAAGTGAAGGTTTGCTTACTAATATAGACGTTTTGGGCTCTAGCAATAACAACGCATCACCAAATACACAAGACGGCTCTCTCTCGATGCAAATTAATAGTGATTCACAAAGGGAAGAAAGATTTAGTTACACTGAAAGAGTTGGTTTGACCTGGCCAGAGCCTCCATTAAAGCTGCTAAATCAATATGTTTTGGGAAAACGTGGTTCCATCAAGTCAGTGAATCTGACTCGCATGAAGCTGAGAAAACCATCGTATGTACGGATTGTGAGCAAACAGATGGTTGGTGTGTTTCTCACTATCTGGGTTCGACGGGGCTTGCGCAAGCACATAAGCAACCTTTGTGTGTCTACAGTTGGTGTTGGTATTATGGGCTACATTGGTAACAAGGTCTTGATTTCTCGTATTAGTTGCTCTAACAAATTATATCCTAAGCTAGCAACAACTTACGACTTCTTGCATTGTTACAGGGGTCTGTATCTGTGAGCATGTCAATCTATCAAACACCGTTTTGTTTCTTGTGCACGCATCTGTCATCAGGGGAAAAGGATACGGATCACCAGAAACGAAACGATGATGTACGTGAAATTCACAGAAGAGCTCAGTTTCAACCTAATGCAAATGGTCTTCCAAGTAGCATCCGTGATCATGAGTACGTTTTATTTCTCAGTTGATCCATGAGTTCTCTTAATTTATGAACCTAACAAGATGAACCTGCTGTAGAAGAATAATCTGGCTGGGAGATCTCAACTATCGGATTAACTTGTCGTATGAGAAGACACATGAGCTTATTGCAAGAAAGGAGTGGCAGAGGTTGCTTGAGAATGACCAGGTACGATTATTGCGTTGTTCAACGTTTTCAGCTGTTAAAGTCCAAGCCAAGAATGAACTTACATGTCCTAAGCTCGTACTCGACATCTTATTCTTTGGCAGCTCTTAGGAGAAATGAAGAAAGGGAACGTATTCGAGGGATGGTCAGAGGGAACTTTAAGCTTTCCACCAACATACAAATACGAAATCAATTCAGAAAACTACATCGGAGATGACCCTGAATCCGGGAAACGTAAACCAGCCTGGTACTGTTTTTTCACACACTATGATACAACATTTCTAACATTACTCATACAAAAGGGCGAAACGATAAGTGTAAAGCAAATGTGATTTGATCAGGTGTGACCGCATCATTTGGAATGGTAAGGGAATGAAGCTTCTTAATTACAGAAGGACCGAGCTTAAACTATCGGATCACAGGCCTGTCACAGCTACATTCTTGGCCGAGGTTGAGGTTTTGTCTCCACGGAAACTTCAGCGTGCGCTTGCCGTCACTTACGCCGAGATCCAAAGCCAAGAAGCTTGTACAGTCGCCTAAATACACAGGTGAGATCCATTTGTACAAACTCCGTATTGTGTAGAGACTATTTCACACATCATTTGCAATCTGTATATTCTGTAGTTCTCATTAAAGGAGTATATAGTGTGTACTCGAAAAAAATATTTGATTTGAAGATACAGACGGTGAACGAAGACCGTATTCCGTGTAAATACATTTAATTTTGCTTCACCTTTAGTATATAAACAAGTTATCAGTATTACTGTGTGAATTATAAAATATTGTCTATACACAAAATGGGTTTCATATCTTTGGTACGAGTAAACTAAAACTGTCTCCTATCGGAAACATAAACTAATAAGAGAGGAGCAAAGTTGGAGACTTAGTGGTTAAATAATTAAAAGACTCCATCAAATTAATAAACAAAACTCAGAAATATAGAACTCAATTTTTACTTAAAAACAATTTTTTACTTAAAAACATATTTGCTGAGACACAAATCTGAAAGAGAAATAAAGCCCATCCACTGATTAAAGAGATACAGTTAAAGACATGATTTAGGTGGATTTGAAACAACCAAATACAAAACATAAGTACAAAAAAAAAAACAGAACTCAGAATTTAATCATGAAGCCACAAACCGAAGCTGAACCGGTTTGAGCTCGATCAATTTCTCTTATAATGAGAAAACCGATCGAGGTCAAACAGGACCCTTCATTACATAATCGAATCGATAAGACATACATCTCTAAACCAAAGTTAACCGAACCGGTACCTAGCAATCGGTGGTTATACGCATACATAGAAAAAGGTAAGTAATAATCAGAAGTTACTGTATCTTCAAACCGCAGAGCTTCATGAGAGGAGACTTGAAGCAAACTCATCAAGCTCTTGATCGCTGAATAAACCTTCAAAATTTGTTTCAAAATCTAGGAGTTGTTGATCACTGAAACAACCTTCAAAACCTGTCTCAAAATCTTTGAGTTGTTGATCGCTGAAAACTCTCTCAAAACCTGTCTCAAAATCTATGAGTTGATCAAGATCCATCTCCTCATCATCCAAAAATCCTGCAGAAATTTCTGGAATCTGATCCTTCTCTTCAGTGTTGTTGAGATTTTCAGGTAAATTTGAATCATCATCATCATCATCCAAGACAACGATTTCTGTATCTGTTTTGAGACAATCATCGCTATTGGTCTGAGGATTAAGCTGTTGATCCGACTCTTGAGTTCTGATGTTGTTGTTGTCCGTAAGGCAAAGATTTTCAGAAATCTCCGTATCTGTGTTCTGTGTATATTCTGGAATACTACAACAACTGCGATTTGGGCACCGGAGAGAAGACAAAGCTGTGAAGCTTTGCTGTAGAGACCGTAACTTCGTTTGGTGAAACATGTGGCTAGTGAGTTTTTGTTTGTTATCTTCTCTATTGGAATCTTCCTCTTTGTGCCTCCTTTCACCATTTTTTTTTCTATGAAGAAACTAAACCCTAATTCGAGAGAGAGTTTCGCCTCTGTAAATTTTTTTGCGTGGGAAAAGAAGAAGATGGACTCTCTCTCTCTCTCTATGTTATATATATAGTAACATAGATAGGGTTTGTGAGTAAGTAATTAAATCCGTTAATCACTAATTAAATGAGTTAAGTACTGTAATATTTCCTTTTTTAAGTGAACCACCTGAAACTACATCAAACCAAGACTGGTTACATAATAAACCGAAGTTATTTAACAAACGAGAGTCAGGAGCTTAACGGGCACTTCTGGCCTCTGAGTGCTCAACCATTGTTAGGAATTCTCAACCCAACCAAACTAAATTCGGTTAACGTAATAACTAAACCAACTAAACTAAAGTCATGAAGAGATTGAACACATTTATTCACAAAAATGGAAATCTTTTTTACATTAGAACAAAAAATGGAAAGATTGGGGAGCCTTGGGTGGCAAGTAGCAAATATCTATTAAAACCGCATTAATCAATTCTCTAACAATATGCAAATATCTTTATTATTTTGTTTTTAACTTCGAAACCCTAAAAATCTAGAAACCGAGAAATATTCAAACATTCTTTCCCTTTGTTCTTCTTCTTGCTGCTACCCTGCTACTGCTAGTGCTAGTACCAGTATTGTCTCAAATTCAATCGTCAGATTTTGTTGCGATCAAGCCAAGACCTAAACATCATTACAAAAAGTCCAAAACTAAACCGGGGTGGTTCCCTTCGTGACAGACGTCGTGTTTGTCTAGACCAGACTCCCCACAAAAGTGGATTTGCACAATCTAATCCATTTGACTACCAGAACTTTCACATAATCTTTCCGAACCTTTAGGAATAGTAGAAAACTACCAATAACCACAACAAATCTGCAAATCTGCTCCATATTTTGAAGAACAAGCAGCCTAGAGTGAGGACATGTATGTGTTGATTTGTTTATTTTGTATTGTCTGTGAGTACGTATGACTTGTCATTTACAGTGAGCTTAATCACTATGTTGGCTTAGCTTACTTTTTTTTTTTTTTTCTGGTTTTTATGTTCATGTCCTAATTGTGTTAGACTTTACCTGAGAGCAAACTATCCCTATAAGATATGCAGTCATTAGCATCGAGAATCGAGATAAAAAAACTCTCTTTCATCATAAATTAATTTTCTCAACTCGTTCAAGCTCTATACATGATCAAAGATTCATACACTATATCAGTTCCAATGTGGAACATGCTTTCTTCTAACTTAACCTGAATCAAAGAGTCTAGGTCGTCACGATAAGACAGGTCTTCCCAAGACTCCAACAATGGCTATGATTCTTGAGATAGACCCTTGAAAACTGATTCTTCTCCACCAAAGCTATGATTTTTGGTCCTTGAGGTATGTACATGCATGGACAAATTAAAAAGAAAAGAGCGTGAAGAGGAATAATTTTTTTGGGTTATGTTATAGTGAATAATGGGCTAAAATACACTGGCTAAAGCCCAAAACAAGTCACCACTCACTTCACTTCCCACTTCGCCACTGATTAATTTATTTTTGTTCCATTTTCTCCCGAAAAGAAAAAAATAAAGACAATCACAATTCACACAAATCCCCCATGAAACATCACAGAGCTTAACTCTCACAACACGACGACTTGACTCAGACCACACCGCTCGGAGATCGCTGCTTTTCAATTTTCCCTCAAAAATCAATGGGAGGAAAACAACCAGAGCCGGCGAATGTGAGCTCGAAATCGGAATCCATGGCGACGAACAAGGCGAGTCCAGATCTGCTCAACAGTCTCTCATTCAAATCCCTCAAATTGAAGACGAAGCAGCAGGAGCTACTAATTCGCGTCTCGATCCTCGGTCTCGTCTACGTCTTAGCCTTCATCGCTCGTCTCTTCAGTGTTCTCCGATACGAATCCATGATCCACGAGTTCGATCCGTACTTCAACTACCGTACGACGCTTTTCCTCACCGAGAAAGGCTTCTACGAGTTTTGGAACTGGTTCGATTCCGAGAGTTGGTACCCGCTTGGCCGGATCATCGGCGGCACGCTTTATCCCGGTCTAATGGTCACCGCCGCTCTGATCTACTGGACGCTCCGGTTTCTCCGGTTCTTCGTTCACATCCGCGAGGTCTGTGTTTTAACGGCGCCGTTTTTCGCTTCCAACACCACCGTCGTTGCGTATTTCTTCGGTAAAGAGATCTGGGATACAGGAGCTGGGCTCGTCGCTGCTGCTCTGATCGCGATTTGCCCTGGCTACATTTCTCGGTCCGTCGCTGGCTCGTACGATAACGAGGCCGTCGCGATTTTCGCTCTTTTGTTGACGTTTTATCTGTTTGTTAAGGCGGTGAACACTGGTTCGTTGGCATGGGCTCTTGGCTCTGCGTTTGGTTACTTCTACATGGTTTCGGCTTGGGGAGGCTATGTGTTTATTATTAACTTGGTTCCGCTTTACGTCTTGGTGTTGTTGATCACGGGGAGGTATTCGATGAGGCTATACGTAGCTTATAATTGTATGTATATCTTGGGGATGCTTCTTGCTATGCAAATTCGTTTCGTCGGATTTCAGCATGTTCAATCTGGAGAGCATATGGGTGCAATGGGAGTCTTCTTGTTGATGCAGGTTTGTTCTCTTTTTACCACTTGGAATTTGAGATATTGTTACTCTGTCTTAGAGATTAAGCTTCAGACTCATCTTTTGCTGTTCCTTGTATAGTAATTGGGTTTCTGCTTAGCCTGTTGTATTGTGAGATAGGAAGTTGGAACCTTTTTGCTGATCTTTACTCGAGAGGATGCTATTTCAAACATCAAAGATCATACCTTGATCCCTATTAAATATGATCTACTTGTATAGGTGTTTTAGACTCATCTTCAGACTCATCTTTTGCTGTTCCTTGTATAGTAAATGGGTTTCTGCTTAGCCTGTTGTATTGTGAAATAGGAAGTTGGAACCTTTTTGCTGATCTTTACTCGAGAGGAATACTATTTCAAAGATCAAAGATCATACTTTTATCCCTATTAAATTTGATCTGCTTGTATAGGTGTTTTACTTCCTCGATTGGGTGAAGTACCAGCTCAATGACACCAAGTTGTTCCAAACTTTTTTGAGGATAACTGTGACCTCGGCGATTCTGGTTGGTGGTATTGCTTTGGGTGTAGGAACAGCATCTGGCTATATATCTCCGTGGACTGGTCGGTTTTACTCATTGCTTGACCCGACTTACGCAAAGGATCACATTCCCATCATTGCATCTGTTTCTGAGCATCAGCCTACGGCCTGGTCGTCTTTCATGTTTGACTACCATATCCTGCTCTTCCTTTTCCCCGCGGGGCTTTACTTCTGTTTCAAGCGTTTGTCAGACGCTACAATATTTATCGTCATGTATGGTCTCACTAGCTTGTACTTTGCTGGTGTCATGGTTCGGCTTATTCTCGTCGCCACTCCAGCTGTGTGCCTTATCAGTGCCATAGCTGTTTCTGCCACTGTCAAGAATTTAACTTCTCTGTTAAGGACAAAACAAAAGGTTCCCCAGACTGGTTCCATGAAAGGAGCCGGTAGCTCAAAAGCCTCTTCAAAGGTGAATCTTTATTGTCCCTGTTCTCACCAATTTTTCATCTGTTTTGGTTTAAACTGTATGGAACGCTTCTCTGGTGAAAGGAGAAAAATTTAAAACTTGTCTCCTATGTCCTAGCAGGTTTTACTTGACCAGTCTCAACCTTTCCAGAAGAATGGTGCTATTGCTCTTCTTCTTGGTGTATTTTATTTGCTCAGTAGATATGCTATTCACTGCACATGGGTGACATCGGAGGCATATTCATCTCCCTCAATTGTCCTGGCTGCTAGAGGAGCTCACGGGAACAGAATCATCTTTGATGATTACCGTGAGGCATACTACTGGCTTAGGCAAAACACTCCCACTGATGCTAAGGTCATGTCGTGGTGGGACTATGGGTACCAAATCACTGCCATGGGAAACAGAACTGTCATCGTCGATAACAACACATGGAACAACACTCATATTGCTACTGTTGGACGTGCCATGTCTTCTTATGAAGACGAGGCATATGACATCATGAGGTCACTCGATGTTAACTATGTATTGGTCGTCTTTGGTGGCGTTACTGGTTATTCTTCAGATGACATTAACAAGTAAGTCTCTCTACGTTCTCCCATGTGTGTTCGTATTCTCGTTATTGCTGCAAATCTGGTTAATGTTGCATTAACCAAATATGGCACTAATTAGTGGCTTGTTAAACGAATACTTTTGTATATTTTGAAAGTTTGACATATCTCTTTAACTTCTCAACTATACAAGTGTAGATTTTTGGTAATTGATTTGTATTAGTGGCGAGCAAACAAATGGCTTGGGCTGGTATTGAGTGGATCTCAATTAACCAAATATGAAAGTGGTTGGTTATTTAGAAACTAGCTGATAGTTAGTTGTTAGTACATACCAGTGATGATATACCTCTGATTAACTGGTACATTAATACCTTTGACGGCCTTCCCGTTCTTGGTTGGTTGCAAGAAAACTTTCTTGATTCAGTTGTGTGTGGATTTCAGTTGATGTGTGTGGATTTACTGATCCTAATTAATTAATAATCAAAAAATGTGGGTTAGGTTCTTGTGGATGGTGAGAATTGGAGGTGGAGTATTCCCAGTGATCAAGGAACCTGATTACCTTGTGAATGGCGAGTTCCGTGTAGACAAGGGTGCATCGCCAAAGATGCTGAATTGTCTCATGTATGTTTTACTTTCAAGACTCTACTATTATGCATATGTACTTATCCCCCAAAATGAGCTAATTTTCAAAACAATGCAATTCATTGTTCATGTTTTTCGTATAGGTACAAGTTATGCTATTACAGGTTTGGCGAGCTGGTCACAGAATACGGCAAGCCATCCGGGTACGCCTTGGAATTTACACATTTTGAAGAATATTTGATGTGTTTGATCTTAAACGCATTTACTTTCTCGATATGCTAAAGAAAAAATAATGGGTTGTCAAATCATTGGCAGGTATGATAGAGCAAGAGGGGTGGAGATAGGGAACAAAGACATCAAACTGGAACACTTAGAAGAAGCCTACACAACATCAAACTGGATTGTTCGTATTTACAGAGTCAAACCTCCCACAAACAGGTTGTGATCTCACAAAAGTGTGGGTTTAGATAGTTTATAGTTTTAAGGAGAGGAACATACAATTTCGGATTTTTCTTGCGACTTGGTTTTATTTCTATGCAGAGACAGTTTTTGTAGCTTTTCATCGCTTAAAAGTATGAAACCTATTTTGCACTGGTTTGTACGTCTTCTTTTAGACCATGTGTTGAAATCTAATCTTGGTTAGAAAGATTGGTTGAGTCCATATAAAAAAAAACAGTGAGATATATAATATGGTAAATAAAATCCTAACAAGACTGCCACCTAAATTAAGTCAAAACCAAAATGACAAGAAAAACAAAGAGAGAAGAAAATAGAGTTAAGCGGCTGAATAACATGCATGATTAATTTATTAAGGAAATGGGAGGCAAAAATGAAGGAAGTTTTGGTCCTGTCTGTCGTCCTGAGCCCGTCATGTCGTCCTGAGCAGTTGACTGATTCATCCAGATAATCTAGTCGTCGTTTTGAGCAGTTGACTGATTCATCCAGATAATCTAGTCAGCTGATGTTTGTTTAAGATATAAAATCATTTTTTAAAATTGGTTGTGATTGGATTAATAAAATTAAGTATTCAGGCTCCGTTTAGTAAAAATACCACGTCAAGGTGACACTCTACCGTTGAGTTATATCCCTTCGATCTGATTGAACTAGTTAGATGAACAAGTTGGATGAACCAACTTCAGTCAAAATTTTATAATAACTAAAATATTTTTGAAAAAATAAAAAAATTACAAGAGAAAAACTTAAACATAAATCTCCTCTTCTTTTTTTCTATTCTGCGACTCACTATTCTTTGACGGCTCTTCCTTCAACTCTATTTCTCCGGCGAGACAATTCTTTTCGCCGGCGTCTTGTCTGACATCTCCATTCGCTGGCATCTTCTCGGACTCCTCTCTTGTCCAACACGAGCTCACTCAATCGATTCGTCTCTTTTTCTCCGAAGAAGCTTCGATATCTGTCTCTCTCTCTCTCTCTCTCTCTCTCTCTCTCTCTCTCTCTCTCGCTCTCTCTCTCTCTCTCGTCATTCCAAGCACAAGCTTTGCTTTCTCTGACAATCTCGTTTTCTCTCTCAGCTGAGGTAACATATTTCTGGGTTTGGTTTAGAATTCCAAGTTTTCTTCTCTAATCTATGCTTGCTGCTTGTTCTGCTCGATTTTGAGAAAAGCTTTGATATGGGTTTTGAGAAATGTGACTAGAGGATGTGGAAAACGATTTCATATCGAGCAGGTTTTAGTTGTGTAGTAACGTCCTTCTTTGTGTATATATCCACGCCCATGTTTTACTTTTCATTTTGTTTATGATGGTGACCACTGTTTCCTGCGAATTAGATTATGCTTTTGAGAAATTATCTGGATCCGATGATGGATTTCTTGCTGGTGAAACAGTTGTGCAAGTAGTTAAGCAGTGGACCTTTCTCTATAGTGAATGACGCAGAGCTTATCTGTGAAGGGTTCAAAGTTTTTTCAAGTTTTTCAAAGTTTCTTCCGTTTTCTTGCTGCTATATGTTTGGTTTTCTTATTTGTGTGCATTTTGATATTCAGTTCTTACCCGAGTTCCAAGTCAAATTTGGTCTTGTGATACATCATTTTGTTCTCTTAATCCAGTTTTCAAATGGCAATTTAAATTTGGTGGATTTCATATATTGTAATTGATAATGCAGAAAGCCTTAAACAAGCCTTCTTGACTTCAAGTATTGACAGGAGGGCTTTTCCTTCTATCGGATCATCCTTAACCTGTTCCACTTGATTCTTAGAACTGTACAGGTATCCTTCTATCTCTATTGCTCCTTCGTCTTTAAGCATCATGATTCTGTTCTACTAGATTTGTCTTTTGTTGATTGCGGTTCTGCTTTCCTTTAGCTTCTTCTCAAGATTAGTCATTGCTTCTTTTTCTTCTTCAACTCACCTTTCACTTGTGCCACTTGCTTCTTGTGCTTCTCCATCTCCAAATCATTCTCTGATAAAGAATGCTTTAGATCATCACATTTGGCTCTTACGGTTTCTAGTTCTGATTGTAAGTGTGTAACTGCTTATTGTTAGCGTTCTTTGGCATTTATTCTAGTTGACGTTTCTGCATCCGTAGTTGACTTCCTTTGTTGTTGTTTCAAAATTCTCTGTGTCACCGAGACCAATAGAATAGGTTCAAACCCTCAGTTTGACACCACTTGAACTCTTTTCATCAGCTGTTTGGTGTTTGGTGTTTTCTGTTTGATTATAGTCATTGGCTGTTTGATTATAGTCATTGGCTGTTTGCTGTTTACACTTGGTTTTTTGCTGTTTGATTCTAGTCATTGGCGTCTTGCAAGAAGCAGTATGAATCTTGTCTTTCACGTTTTGCATGTTTTGGTGTTGTTGTTTGTTCAGTTTTATTCTTGTCTTTGAATTTTGAGTTTGGCTTCTAGTTACCGACTGATTGTCAAGCTTGCATTACTCTTTTGTGTCTTACTTTAGCGTTCACTCTCACTTCTTGTAGATAGTTGCTAACACTTCTTCACATACACAATGTCATCTATCCTTAATTCTGATGTGAGTATATTTCCCTCTAAACTCATTATTACTAGTTTTGTATGTTTTAAGGTGTTTGTTGTTTGGTCTGTGTTGTGTGTTTGTTGTTTTTTTCTGTGTTGTGTGTTTGTTTTTTGGTCTAAGAATCTTGTGTTTGTTGCCTGGTCTAAGAATCTTGTGTAGAGTGATGAGGAAACTCGTTCTTATCTTCAACTAAGAATTGAAGATAAACTGAAAGGAAATATAAAACACCAAACTGTGCACGAAGCTACAAGACAGAGTATTATAGAGAAGTTCAGTGAGAGATTTGGGGAAAGACATCCATGGAAGAAATTTGGGATCAAGTTTTCACTTGCAAGAAACAGTATGAATCTTTCAGAAGATTGACTCACGACAGAACTGGACTTGGATATGATTCCAATGGATACATAGAAATGTCTGATGACTGGTGGAAGGAGCAGACTAAGGTATACATATGTTCGTTTCACTTGTTTTTTTTTCTTTTTTTTCTTTTTTTTCTGAGTATTCAAATGGATAGTTGCTTATACTCATTGCCTTATATCCTTTTATGTTCGCATTTTTTTATTTCAGGAGTGGTCGGGAGCTAAGAAACTAAAAGAAAAACCAGTTGCAAACATGGATTTTATGGAAGAAGTCTTTTGAATGTCATATATGTTGCTTTTGATTTCTTCATTTTGCTTTATATGATTGGTGAAGACAGCTACTTTGAACGTCATGCATGTCTCATATTCTCGTATCTGTCAGTAGTCTACTTTCGTTGCTTGGAATGCTTGAATTGATATCAAGATATGTGTCTACTTGATACTAACCAAGCTTTTCTATTTCCTGATGTGATTTTCTAGTTTGTAACATTATTGTCTCTCGTTTTCTATTCTGGTTTTGTACGAAACATTTAGATTCTTAATTGAGGATGATTATATGGAATTGGTTCTTGAGGAGGAGAAACACATGCATGCTCTTATAGAAGACATGTATGGAGTGGAGGAAAGAAAAATTGAGAGACAAATGGTGAACACAAAACGAGGAGAAGGTTGGCAACGTGTGCAGCGATTGATTTTTGAGTCTAAGGTACAATGTTTTGATATTCTACGCATTCACCAATCAACATTTAGGAGTTTGTGTAAAAGGCTATCTGAGCAGTATAAGTTAGAGGAATCTTTCCATGTTTATATAGAAGAGAGTGTTGCAATGTTCATAGAAATGGTTGCACAAGATCTAACTGTACGGGCCTTAGCTGAGCGGTATCAACATTCACTAGACACAGTGAAAAAGAAGCTAGATGATGTTTTAAGTGCTCTTTTGAAACTCGCAGCAGATATAGTGAAGCCCGCAAGGGATGAGTTTGCAAGTGCTGATCCTTTTCGAGTAGATGATGACCGGTATATGCCTTATTTTGAGGATTACATTGGTGCTCTTGATGGCACACATGTGCCAGTTCGTCCTCCATCAGGGAATGTAGAGCCATTTAGAGGTCAAAAATCAGAGCCAACTATGAATGTGCTTGCTGTATGTAATTTCAGTATGAAATTCATATATGCTTATGTTGGATTTCCCGGGAGAACACATGACACAAAGGTGCTAACACATTGTGCAACACAAGAAGCTTCTTTTCCACATCCTCCACCTGGAAAGTATTAATTATTTGATTCAGGTTATCCCACTAGAATCGGTTATCTAGGTCCACATCGCAAAACTAGATATCATCTGGATCAGTTCAACAGAGGATGACCACCTACAAACGGTAGAGAGTTGTTCAACCGCAAGCATTCGGGTTTGAGATCGAAGACTGAGTGCACATTTGGTGTATGGAAAGCTAAATGGTGGATTTTGGACAGGAACATCCTAAGTATGAGCTTAAGAAATGGATAAAGATTGTGACAGCAACAATGGCTCTTCACAACTTTATCAGAGATTCAAGGGAAGAGGGTAGAGACTTTGAATATTGGGAAAATGTAGAGTCATATGAACAGCATGGTGATGAAAATGTTGGACATGTTCCATACTTACCATCAGGTGATAGAGTTATGGAGACAAAATGTGATGCCATTACCTTAGAGATGGCAAAAAGAACTAGACTTCCATATTGACAGGTATGTGATCTTTGTCTTTCTTTTGTCTTATATTTGAATTCTCCTTTTATTTTAATAAAAAAAAAATTTGTCTTTATTTGTAGGATCTGGTGAATAGAAGGGAGAGTTGGTGGTTTAAGGATTATGCTTTTCTAAAAAAACTTTGTTTTGTACCTTGATAAACATAATATGATATGTTTTTTAATTTGATATTGTGTTTTGTATGATGAAATTATAACTCTAGAAGAAGATAGTGTAGTTTGCTTCACCAATGAGGAAATATTTGTTTTAAATGTCTTTATTGGGTATGAATCAATCACAAAATTAATTGTTTTTTTAACTAATTGTTATAAATTTTTTTATAAACAAATTTTTTATTTTCATAAAATAAAAAATTTCAAATGTTTAAAATAATCATCTGAAAATTATTTAGTTGTAAAACATTATTTATATTAAGAATTAATAATAATATAGTTAATATTACATTGATAATATGATTAGATGAAAACATGGGTATTTTAGTCATTTTTGATATAGATGAAGATGTGAAATGATCAAACAAACAAAAATTCAGATGGATCAGCCAAATGAATCAGTTGAATTAATCATTAATTTTTATTAATGAAACGAACATCATTCAGATGGATCAATCAAATGAATCATCTGACTGCAAATATCAACTGCTCAAATGAACAAGGCCTTAATAAATGAACTGAAATACAATGACATTATATCATTGTAGGCAAGTTTACCCTTACCACTGAACGAAATAGATTCTGTAGAGAGCATTGACTGTAAAAACAGTGCAGGGACATGATATAAAAAATATAAGATATATTGTAAGAAAATCTTCTGCTGCCCATCTTTTGTAGGATAATCGGTAACTAATAACTTTTTATTTTACTAAATGTGTTCAACGGTAAGTATAATATATGTTTTATTTAACAAAATTGAAGGTGGTAGTGTTGATGTATTCAGGTAACCTAGTAGCGGCAGCCAATTCAACCGGCAACAGGCAAAATAACTAAAGGAAGGATGAGATCAAGTTTGCTTTTAAAGTTATCGACTATTATCTAATTATCGGTGTAACTAAATTAGCGGATGTGTTGACAGATAACTCTGACTTAGAGACAACTTCCAAAATTAACTGGCTAAACACTGCATGTAAGTTTAAGTAAATATTAATATACATTGGAAAATAAATAACGATCGGACGAAGAATGAAGTGTGTTCATATAACATTCTGTCAAGATAACTTCATTAGCTGGATAATGGCGAATACTACCACACAAATGACGGGTACATGGAGACCGGGGACTGGTACGACCAGTGGCAGATCCAGAAAGTTTCTTAAGGGGTGTCAATTCATTAACCAAAAAACTATATATAACAAAATGGCCAGAGAGAGGCTTGAACCTGGGATTATAGGGGTTCAATAAATCATAAATACCATCTGTGCTACTGATATTTTCACTGAATTTAGACACAAAATTATTTATATATAGATTTATGGGATGTCAAATGACCTTTTAAGTCCTTACTGGGTACGACTGCCAACTACGAAGACGGGACACTAATAGGTAAATATTAACTGTGTTAATAGATGTATATAGTTAGCCTAAAACCATGAACGATGCTTGGAGAATACAAAGGACATTCTCAGTTAACGGATAACATAATAGCCAAAGTTATCTGTATAACCAGGGATTCTGATTACTAGTAGCCAAAAAATTCCATCAACCAACACCAGACAAACCATTTTGAGCCGACTTTCTTTATCCACACTGCATTTGTTTTTGAGAATATCAATTAGCCTCTCTATGGTGACATCTTCTTTCTTGTCGAAAAGTCATAGTGAGGATAGTTGGGGGATTTCCTCTTCTTGTTCTCGTTCGCTGGAAATTTCCCACAGTTTAAATTGGTTATTATCTTGAACTCACGAAGACAAAACCTTATGGGGTTACCGGCAAATAAGATCCAGATTTCGTTCTTCCGCTTGATCTCTAGCTGGCGAGATAAAAAGAACAATCCGAATGTCCCCGACCATGCCGGCTTGGATGGAATATCCAGTAATTTTCCCAGCGGAGAGTCTCTGAGGAAATCGACGTCGTCATCTTCTAAAGCGGCTACAAGGTCTTGGATTATCGTGAATTTCTGATAGGTAATCACCGTCTGTCCCCAAGCTTCATCTCCGGCTGAAATAATCTTCCTAGGTAAGTTGATTTCCGACATCTACAAATACAAACCCAAGAATTATCGGTTATCTTCTATCCCAAAATCAAACCCATTAACCATATAATATATGAGATTGTGAACAAGAATTACTTCGTCGCGGCTTCAGCTTCCAACAATTCGTCTAACACACAATCAAAAATATAGAAATTGAGACGCAAAATTATAAAATATTTTTTTCACAAAGAAAAATATTGGAGATAACTGATAATAGAGGCAGTTTTAGATAAAAAAAACCCTTGACCTTTTTCCCTCCGAAAATAATATCAAAGAAAATTAAAAAAATCACCACAATTGGATGTTGTTGTTGGTAATTCTGAAAACACGCAATCTGGAGGGTCCCCATATCTATTATATATTCTAATACCTCACGAAACCAACTATAGGAGTTTGCTAGTCTTTTCCTTGTGAATAGTTTGGCGTAACAGTGTCGTTTTTAGGAGATTTAATTTTGCAAGTTTATGATGTCATTTAGTTCAGAAAAATAAAAACTACTAAATTCAAGTGTATGTGTTGTTCTATAGCTTTTTTCTTGATTGCGGTAACACAACAACATCATAGGTTGCAAACACAATCTTGGTCTAAATATTATCTGCGGTTGTGACATTGTCACTAAAAGGATTGAAGATAGCATGTTGGCGAAGATTCTAAAATATGTACAGATCGGTAATATATCTACTTTAAAAGCTTCTTCTTTGGAGGAGGATTTCTTGTTTATAAACGAGTTGGTAACATAGGGTCTGTTCGGCGTGTCGCCGCTGCGTCAGCGATCGCGACCAATAATTACAACATCATCACAGGCAAAACATATGGTGGAGAATTAAAATAGATGACGCGGCGTTTGTATTGTCGACATCGCAGGTGACGCTGAAAAAAACAGCGTCCACTATAATGGTTGTGATCGGCGCTGCGTCTTTTTCTGTTGATTGCCGTTCTACACTCATCACAAACTTGAAACTGTCAAGTACGTTATAATTTTGTGTCGCTGGACGCTGATGCAGCGACAACGTAACGAACAAGCCTATACTAACATATCCATCCACTCACTTTTCATCTTCCATAGTTAATACCATTAATGTTGTTAATTTCTGTTTTTTTTTTCCAAAGTGTATGTCATGGACCAAAATAGAAAACAAACTTGAATAAAGCCCATGATAGGCCCACAAGACAACCTGAGTTCTTTTGTCCAAAGAACATCGTCTGTATCCACACGAAGGAGAGCAAACGACAAATTCTGGCTAAATCGCAGAGGATCCAGAGTGATCGGGGAAGATATACCGTAGTTTTATTTATCGCAACTAATTGAGGAGAAGAGAAACGTTTGATTACGTTCCAGAATTCAACGCCGAAAGAGATTTTCATCTACGTCGACGAAGATATGGTTCGTACCTTCGATTTTGTCTTAATTTGTGTGTAACGATCAGCAATTTCTTGGTTGATCTTGAGGGTTTTGCTCCGCTAGATAAAAATTTTTGCATTTTGGGTTATAAGATCTGATTCGAAACGGGGATTTTGAACTCTAGGATATGCAAAAGTTGATCTCTTTTCGCGAGAAACCCTTGCGGTGTTTAAAAGTTCAGATTTTGATTTCCAGTAAATTGAGATATTTTCTCTATTTTCTCTACTTTCAGAGATTTAATGGTTTGTCTTGCATTGTTATTTGTTCTGCAGTCGAGTCTATACAGAGGTGTTTCGAGAAAAGAAAAACCAAGACGTCATCATGGGTTGAATCAGCAGAAGAGGCAAGAGATCAAGGAAGCTTTCGAGCTATTCGACACCGATGGTTCTGGCACCATTGATGCTAAAGAGCTTAATGTTGCTATGAGGTAATTCTTAAAGTTTGTAGTATGTTCCTCTCTTTTATTATATGATTTCGAATTTCTGGAACTAATCCTTGAGCTTAACTCTGTGATAGGGCGCTTGGTTTCGAAATGACGGAAGAGGTAATATAAGTTTCTTCATCTCTTAGGTCTTTGCTGAAATTTCATGTATATTCCTCTCTGTAAGGAATGATGATTCTGATATATCTGGTTTGTTGGTTTTGATAACTTTTAAGCAAATCAACAAAATGATAGCTGATGTAGACAAAGATGGAAGTGGAGCCATAGATTATGATGAGTTTTACTATATGATGACTGCTAAGATCGGTGAAAGAGACACGAAAGAAGAGCTCACCAAAGCATTCCAGATCATTGATCTTGACAAGAATGTATATACTCATAATGCTTTCTTCATTTGAAGATTACGATTCTTGATCTCTCTAGATCTAAATTTGCACTAAATTGTTGCAGGGGAAGATATCTGCTGATGATATTAAACGCATGGCAAAGGACTTAGGTGAAAACTTCACAGATGCTGAGATAAGAGAGATGGTTGAAGAAGCAGACCGTGACCGTAAGTTTCTGAACCTTGTTCTCTTTCTCTTGTGCAATGCCTGGTTTGATTATGATATATATGATCCATTGCATAAATCAAACTGCAGGTGATGGTGAAGTTAATATGGAAGAATTTATGAGGATGATGAAGAGAACTGCTGCTTATGAGTACTAAAAAGTTGTTGTCCTTAATGATACTGATGAGGTCTGTTATAGTTCTTTAGCTGAGGCATTGTCGTTTATAATATTGCTGAAGATACATATTTCTGTTATTTTTTTTAATCTATTTTAATGGTCTTGTATCAGTTTTAATTTGTATAAAACTCCTCTTTGGATTTCTTGGAAAAGTTTCTAAGTGTTAATGAGTCTCCTGTGAAACCTTTAGGAGCTTCGATCTTCGATTACTTCAGGTCCACACAATCTATGATGAACCGTCCATGAGCCTGTGAAAAACCAATATATATATAATTTCGGATTTTTCTTGGACATTATTTGCACTGGTTTATTCTTCTTTTCTAAAACAGTTTTTGAAATCTGATCTTGGTTAGAAAAATTGGTTCAGTGCATATAAAAAGAATGAGTTATATAAGATGGTAAATAAAAGATATATTTACACCAGATGACATCTTTTTAATTCATATTTACAGATTTTGACACTTAATTCATATTTACAGATTTTGACACTTTGGTTTGAAGTGACTCTTTTTCAACATTTTATCTTATAAAAAGACATTTTAATCCTTTTTTTATTTGCTGTACAACAAACCAAAATTAAATATTTTAACCAAAAAAATAAACCATTTTATCAATATTTTCTTTATTATATTCTATACTATCTTTTTCTTCTCTCTCCTTCATATATTTTTCTTTTTCCTTTTGTATCTGTGTCGTGCAATCGTTTACTTCACCTTCTTCTTTTTCTCTCTCTCTCTTTCCTTTTCTTTCTCTTTTCCATTTTGTTATCTTCGTTGGTTCATCCTCTCCTTCCTTAAGCTTTTCCATTTTATTATCTTAATTCTAATTTTATTTTATTTCTTAGTTCTAGTTCAAAATAGATTTGGAGACGAGAGATGACGTGACGATGAAGCTAATCTCTACAAAATTTTGCTGTTTTCTGGAACTTAGTTTCTTCATTCTCAGATCTGTTTTTTATTGACTAGCATCTTGTCCATATTATTTCGAATACAAACCCAATTTTATTTGTTCGAATTTTTATGTACTTAATTTGGTGGAGAATTTCTATGTAAAATACTTGTGAACGTGATGTAAAAGATACATACATACGGACGTGATATATAAAAGATACGTCCATGTGGACGCTATCTAGAATCCGAGCATTGGACGTGTCCACATGTACTCAGTCTAATGCATTTCATTACGGACATCTCCACGTGGGTGTATCCACACTCGAAAACCGTGATGTCTTTTCAGCATTCATATCAACATGGGATATCCATGTGGACATGGACACAAAGATTTTTATTTATTTGAATATATTTATTTGAACTAATTGTCCATAGTATTGTCCATAATGAAATGGTGAATAAATAAAAGGTAGTCGAGAGAGTATAAACCAATTTTCATGGACATTTATGGATGTGTCCACATTGATCAAAAATCTGACTCATTATGATATTATCAATTGTAATTATAATCTCTTTACAATTTAATTAATTTTATTACATTGTTCTCACAAATTAATTTAATTTATTATTCTTAAATGTTTCGTAGATGTGTACATGGCAAACAAACTCTTTGTTTTTAAGCGAAGATATTCAAAATAACTAGTATGAATTGTACACGATAATATGTCTATATGGAAATATTCACACAAATTTAATTCGAGACAACCATATTAAAACATTGGTTGGTGAAAAGAACTATTGCACGTACATAACATTATATTCAAATGATATGCCCACTACAAGATATCTACAGGGAAAGTGAGTTATGTGTACGTGTCCACTAGCTATTTTGTGTACTTATCCATATAACTTGTTTCTTGTACTGTTTGTTCTCCTCCTCATTTTCATACACAGCCGCCATAACCACATGCGATTCTAGTTGCAGAGACGGGATCTAAGTGCAATTCCAGATCCAAATCCTTCACCAGCATCTGAGAGAGAGAAAGAAAGAGAGAGAGAGAAAGAGAAATAGAGAAAGAGAGAGAAAGTTGCTTCATTGATATGAATTGATATGGGTTGGAAGCTGCTTCGTGATTTGAGTTTTCTTTTTTTTTGTGTGGGTGGTGTTTTTATTGTCGGCAAGAGAAAAAGAGATAAAGAAATGTATGTGTGCATGAAGGAGATGTATGTATGTGTGAAGGAGAGAAGGAGATGTATGTATGTGTGAAGGAGAGAAGGAGATGTGAGAAAAATAAATATCAATGTCGAAGGAGAAAAAAAATAAGGAGAAAAGAAACTTAACCAATCGGTTTGAAAACTGGTTATTAACCAAATACGGTTAATCAACTAAAATCGAACCAACCCTTTGTTTTGGTAAGGGGGAGGAAGGGCTGAAAAGGTTTCGCATGGGTAAACTCATAAAAAGTGCCATCAGAATATAAAGTGTCATATTCTGTAAATATAAACTCAAAAACCGTCATTACATGTAAACAACTCTAAATAAAATCCTAACATGACCTCCACCTAAAGTAATTCAAAACCAAAATGACAAATACAAGAAAAATAAAATTCATCACCTAAATTTAAAATCCATATACACTACTATATTATAGGGTGATGGGTTTCTTAGCTCGAGCTATGGTTACGGTTGTGGCAGCGACATCATATTTTGCAAACCGTGGTGGTTACAAATTTACAATGATACGTTTGGGACATGCATTGCGGGGAAACCGTTTGGCAATCTTGATCCAAACATGACATACGATTGGAAATTAACACTTAAACTAATGGAATACATTTTGACTAAAGGTTTACCGTTGGTAATAAAAAATGCTTTTAGACATATTTTATATAGAGCAATTTACACTCCTTAGCACTTTTTCAGTTTGTATTTACACGTTTTAGTACTTTCGATTGAAGTGGCACTTTTATAACAAAGTGTTTTGCGAATTTCTTCTTCTGCCCCTTCATTGACTTTAAGACTCTAAACCAGATTTGATAACCAATATAGACCAATAATGCTCTATTTTACAACACGGAGATTTCTCGGGAATTAAGAAACGTGTATCGATTCGCAACAGTGCTAAGGGTCGGCGTTTTAGCCAGTTCCGGTGAGTAAACTGTTCGGAAAAGTTGTAATTTACCGCGAGAAGTTGATATCAATGTTCGCTTAAACAGAGAAGATAGTTGCGAATCGAATTAATTTTCGTCGCTCGAGTAAAAGAGATTTCTAAAACGCCGAGTCGCCGCGTATTTGAGTCCCCGTTTCTCACCGGAATTGATTTTCAGAGCGTTCTCGATGCGCAGTCAGCCTTCGACTCTAACCGGAGCTGGATTCGCAGTAAGCCCCGATTCCCACTGGAAACAAAATAGTAGTATGGATGTAACCATAATCGATGAACAGCCATTATTAACCATAACCACTGGAAACAAAATAGAAGTATGGATGTAAACAAAATAGTTGCATATAATGGATTTAACCATAATCGAACATCTATTATTAACCATCCACTATTAAGCACACATACAGTGGATGCCGGTATCCTAATGGAAGTATCCATGATAATAGATAGCACACACATAGTGGATGGTTATCGCCTAATGGAAGTATCCATGATATGCAATAACACACATTCATTGGATGCTTATAGCCTAATGGAGGTATCCATGATAACAAATAGCACGCATACAGTGGATGCCTGGACAGAAAATGAAAGGTCTCGTGTTACATCCATACTCATTGTAGCTGAAGGTCTCACTAATTGATTATCCATTCTAGATCATCCCTGATGATGTGGCGATATCCATAGTGTCAGTCAATGGTGTTGGTATCAACAATATGCTCATATCTACATTATTAACTATCCAATTTTTTCAAGAAGGTCATATCCACAAAGATAGTTCGTTGTTGGCCTCACAGTATGTACAATAAATCATTCACCGTATAATGGCCATATCCACAAAGACATTACGTGCCTGGGTTCAATATGCGCGTATCCACAAACGAGCATCCACCGTATAATGGCAATATCCACTAAGACAGTACATGCCTGGTCCTAATGAGGCGCATATCCACATACGAGCGTCCACAATATGCACAATAAGAGCATCCACTAACCCATTTGTCTATGTCAGAGTCATTCCCTTTGTAATAGGGATATATCCACACAAGTCATTATATTGTATCGATGACGCTCGATGTTCATCCACAATGTGAGTATTTTTGGTAGACTTTTCGTATATCCTGTTTCTGTTCGGAATCTAGACGGTGCGATTCACATGTATCGATTTTCCCACAGTCGATTTGATGTACATATAGTATGTACATAGCCACTTGGGTTCAATATGCTCGTATCCACAAACGAGCAACTACCGTATAATAGCAATATCCATAAAGACATTACGTACTTGGTCTTTATGATGTACATATCCACAGACGAGCATCCACCGTACGTGCCTGGTCCTAATGAGGCGCATATCCACAGACGAGCGTCCACAATATGCACAATAAGAGCATCCACTAACCCATTTGTCTATGTCAGAGTAATTCCCTTTGTAATAGGGATATATCCACACAAGTCATTATATTGTATCGAGGATGTAGTGGCTATATCCACAAGTCAGTTCATGGTTGGCCTTACCGTAACTACAATAAATCATTCACCGTATATTGGCCATATTCACAAAGACGTTACGTGCTTGGGTTCAATATGTGCGTATCCACAAACGAGCATCCACTGTATAATGGCAATATCCACAAAGACAATACGTGCCTGGTTCTAATGAGGCGCCTATCCACAGACAAGCGTCCCCTGTATAACGGATTTATCCACAATATGCAAAAATGACCATCAACTAACCCATTCGTGGATGTTAGAGTCATTCCCTTTGTAATATGGATATATCCAAAAAAGTCATTATATCGTATCTCGTTCAAATCCAGGTTTATCCACAATGTGAGTATTTTTGGTAGACTTTTCGTATCCCTGTTTCGGTTCGGACTTCTAGACGGTGCGATTCACATGTATCGATTCTCCCACAGTCGATTTGATGTACATATAGTATGTACATATCCACTTGGGTTCAATTTGCGCATATTCACAATCGAGCATCCACCGTATAATGAGTATATCCACACAAACAGTACGTGCCTGGTCTATATGAGGCGCATCCACAGTCAAGCATCCACCGTATAACGAATTTATCCACAATATGCACAAACGAGCATCCACTAACCCATTTGTGGATGTCAAATTCATATCCTTTGTCATATGGATATATCCACAAAAGTCATTATATCGTACCTCGTTCAACTCGAGGTTCATCCACAATGTGAGTATTTTTTGGATGACTTTTCGTATCCCCTGTTTCGTTTCGGATTTCTAGACGGTGCTTTTCACATGTATCGATTATCCCACAGTCGTTCAACTCGAGGTTCATCCACAATGTGAGTATTTTTTGGATGACTTTTCGTATCCCCTGTTTTGTTTCGGATTTCTAGACGGTGCTTTTCACATGTATCGATTATCCCACAGTCGATTTGATGTACATATAGTATGTACATATCCACTTGGGTTCAAATCGCGGTTTAATTTAACTGTACCCACTACTAAACGTCTCCGTTCAAATCGAGGTTCATCCACTTAGTCTTTATTTTTTTTTTAGACTTTTCGTATTCCCAGTGTTGATTCTTACTTCTAGACGGTGCGATTCACTTTTCTACAAAAGTAAAAAAGCCCTAACATCACTCCAAATTAAGCCTTCCTCGCAATCTTAGATTTATCTCCATCTGTTTTTTCTTTCAAAAATCCGTGTTCTCTAAACAACACTGTTATTCGTCCGATGTCCGGTAAGTTTCTTTTTTTTCCATGTCTGGTAAGTTTCCGTGTTATACGGTTTACTTTGAATTGTTACTTGTCTGATGCTTTTGCGAATTCATTTACAGACGACGATAGTTCCCCAGATAACCGGCTTCCGGCAAGGTTGTTTGCCACGGACAGATACCCCATTTGTCGTCTCAACGTCTACTCGAAACCAGATACACTCACCGTTTTAAGGAACCTCCTCCGGGATACTCCTGAACTCGACCAGATCTTAGACTCGAGTTTTGGTGGTCTTTTCAGGTTATCCGCCAACAGAGCACCAATCTCTTTCAAACTCATTCAGGCTCTCATAGCCAGGCAACTGGTGACTAAGCACAAGTACGAGATGTGGACGGTCTTTAGTGGTCAGCCGTTATGTTTCTCTCTATTAACTGTTCATTATTGGAAGAGGGTTACGAAACCCCATTGACACAGGCAACCCTCAAAGAACCGGATTTGTACTGGAAGCGATGGATAGGTGATGATGTAAAAACAACATGCGCAGACATCACCACTTGGCTTCGAGATGATAAGGACATGCCCAACGATCAACGGATCCGTCTAGCTCTTCTTTTGATTGTTGATTGCGTCTTTATTGCCAACCAGACTCACTCTCCCACACCTCGTTATGTGAAGATGGTCGACAATCTTGAAAATTTTCTCAAATTTCCATGGGGCAGAGAATCATTCATCAAAACGTTGTGGTCGATGAGGCCTCCCAACGTCATCAAGTCCAGCAAAAATAAGGAAGAGGGACCAGTTCAGCTATTTTGTAAACAACTTCAGCAAAAATCCATTAAATTGAATGGCTTCCCCCTGGTGTTTCAGCTACTTGCTTTCAGAGCTATCCCACTCTTGCTCAGTAAGTTACCGGATCCCTCCGATGCACCTCGAATTATTGATCTAACCACCGAAGGGTTCCCCAACAACGCTGCAGTCACGCTTAATGATGTCCTTGATTCGGAAATCGATTGCAATGTAAGTTTAACCTCCTCCCCACATATTTAATCTTCTCTTTCAATGTATACTATCTCACATTCCTCTCTATTGTAGCTTGTTGTTAACCCAATGATTGATCCACCTCCAAGTGTTGACGACGGTTCCGGTGAGTGGGAGGACGAGGTTCGTGATCGCAAGGTTGATTACATGCTTAAACTCATCGATCAGAACCATGTTTTCGTCAAACAGAACTGACTCGGTGGGGACGCCTCCTGCCCTCTTATCGTGCATGAGCCTTTTCACACAAAAGGCAGCCACAAGAAGCATATAATTAATCGCAAGAAAGGGAAAGCTACCACCAAACCAGTCGTCTGTGCTCTCTCTAACCTAGATGTTTCCACTTCTAAACCCAGAGGATCTTCTGCTTTTGTAAAAAAGTTTATGTCCACCACGCCTGAAGCTCCTGCCGACCAACTTCGGTGGCTCGCTAACCAGGTGGTTCTAATCGCGTTTAAGATCAATATCGCACAACCTGAATCGCATGGTACTAGTAAAAGGACTCGCTCTGCACCGAGGACCATTCCTTCCAAAGGCCGGGCAGCAAAACGCCGTCGGATGTGTGCCACAAAGCCACCCGTTTCACCTATGGCCTCGTCTGAAAAGGCATCCATAAGGTTGAACGAGGACCATGATCTTGACTCCCCAAATAGTCACGAACACGAGGCAGGGCCAAATACACCTGTCCACCATGTACGTCTCAGCCCTCATCCTTTTTTATAACATTTCATAAATATGGTTGTAACCCCTAATAAGTAATAATATTTGTATATGCAGGGTTCAACTGATTTACTGGAACAGACGGATGTGGATTCACTTGTTAGATGTTCTCAATCTATCTTTTGTGTTCTCGGCGTTACAATCTGGTCAACCTTAACATTTTTCAACATTTTTGTAATGCAGAACCTCCCGCTCAACCAGATTGGTTCCAACGAGCTAAATATATGTGGACATGACCGAAAATTACAGCCTCACTCATCCGAGGAGAAAGAAGAGTCCTCACCTATGGACACAACAAATGCTGCAAATCCAATAGAGGTTACAACAAATTTTATTTATATAGAGTTCGAGTAACCATACGGGAATGAAGACTCGTTTCAGGTAATAAGCTATGGGAACTTTCTTTTTCAGATGAAGCTACCTCTGAACCAGGTTGGCATAGGAGTTGATGACACCGATGGTCATATCCACCAAACAAGAGACCAAATCAATGACGGAGTAGATGGGTCCACACACACGTGCACCGAGGTCGAACATATGTCTGATTCCGGTGGGTATGACCATATCAATATCAACCAAACAAAAGAAGGACCTCAAGAGAACATCACTGTGGAGATATCTATTACAGATCCAATAGAGGTATCAATATCCATTCTTAATTACTAAACATCGTAAATATGCTGGAGTGGATGATTTTATTTGATACACAGTCCGGGCACCAATCATCCATCATCGATGTAAACAGGAAAGGAGATGAACAAATTGCTCCCCCGCCAATGCGTGATCATGGACCTGGCACCGGAATAAATGAACCCATGACGTTGGCGATTCCTGATGTTTCACTGGTAAACATATTTGCCTTTTGTTTCGTTTGCCCTGATTTTTCGACTTGGTCTTTGAACTATTAATTTGTCCTTAGGATGTAACATCGGATGTTGGACAGCTGGCAACTCATGCCGAACAATCCGTTAATCCGAATGGCTCACCTGTAAAGGTATTTTCTTAGGATAGAATTTATTGTTTGTACCCGTTCTGAGGTTTGGTTTCACGGTCAGGTTAGTTCTGAGGTTTAGTTCTCTACAATATGTAGATTTCCTAGTTATCTTTCCCTTTAGATTACGCGGCATACTATATAACTCGGCAATGCTTATAGGCCGACCTCAACACCGCCGCCGACCAACACATAACTTCTGATCAGGCTCCATTTTTAGCGGTAAGTACAGATTAGTTTAGGTTTTCTTGACAGATTCCTGATGTGAAAAAACGGTGAACGTTTTCTGTTTCTTCTCATTAGGGACTGTGTTTCATTGATAGTGATGAAGCCATCTCAAATGTTATTGCTTCTCTTAACACATGGCTGCCTAGAGATTTTGCTGGCTTGATTGATTATGAACATATAGAGGTAACCAATTCATTCGGTGCTGTCGTTCGTAACCATCACCCTGCATTTCTCAACTCACTCACTTCCGTTACCGACAAATTTGATTGACTTTGCCTTATACCTTTATTCAAATTTCCAGCACTAACTTTCTGCATATCTCGTAGGATTCCTATGATCATGCACATGAGGTCTTGCCAACATCAGTTTGTAATGATGCGCCAGCGTCAACCGATACGGTAATTTATGCGCCAACGTATCCACTTATCCATATCCACCTTTTCTCCGTATATTAAATTTTTCCTTATCTCAACATTAATTTATGCTAAAATATGTCCACAGCGGCTCCAGGTGGATCTTCAGTCCGTTGCTCCCACAAACTCATCAGAGGATCCAAAGGTACTCATAGTCCAGTGGATCCAAAAGTACTTAGTGGTGTCCACACTTATTTCTGAGTTCATAGTTCCCATTGCAGATAACTACCTCCCCTAGACAGAGCCACAGATTTGCCACCGAATCCATCATTGAGGAGGTGCAACAAATCATCCTTCCACAGATTATTGGCAGATTCAGTTCCATACTTACACTTTTTAAAATAAAATTTGGACAGGGCCCTTTACAACTATCTCTCCAAACTGGTCAGCCCACCAACCACGCTTCAAATGAAAAACAGATCAGCTATGTCATCCATAACACTAGGTGTAATTATTCATACGGTCACTAATTACTGGTACCTGTGGTTCCCATTGCAGCTAACTCTCAACTTTGGAGAAGCCCACGGATCTGCTTCCGAAACCATCAATGCACAGGTGGAACATATCATCCTCTCACAGATTATTTGCCGATGAGTTTGTTTCATCCTCATACCTAACTTTTATAAGAAAATATTGGACAGGTCCCGGTTCAACTATCTCTTCAATCTGGGGAGATCCTGACCCCCATCACAGCTACTCCCGAGGATCAGGTCAGCTATGTCATCCATAACTCTACGTGTAGAGAATTTATAAAAGTTTGTATATTCAATTACAACCCACACTATTTTTTCCACAGCTTCCACATGATACTTTCCCAACACCAAGGGATCCACAAAATATTATCCCCACGGTCACCGAAGAAAAGTTTAATTCTTCTCATGAAATGCTTGTTTCGACCCCGTCTAGGTAATTGTTACTAAAACGAAATCATTTGGAGACGAGTTTATCTCATACTGTTCGTCACACCCTTAAATGATTGTTGCACCATTGTCAAGACATATAAACTTTCATGTGGACGCGAAATTAACAACGATTTATTTTTGACATTGGTGGACAAGAACATACCGACCACTCCATTGGTAATTAGCATTATTATTGTTATTTTTGAGTACTACGGCCGTAGCATATCGAAAGCTTTTATAATGGATTTTTCATGTTTTACAGCATTTGGAACTTTTAATGGCCTCTCTCTCTGTTCGTCATGCTTCAACTCTTCAGGCTGAGTGATGCACTTTCACCATTCCATCCTTAGTTTCAACTTTGCAATCATAATACCGCTCCTTCGGTAAGTCCATCAACAAGAATTTGTTTGTCTGGGATGATAAGGTCAAAAAAGTCGTTGCTATGGAAGGCCAGACTTGGTTTACGGACGTGGATTGCGTGTACACGCCCATGCTATAGGGCAACAACCACTGGGTCGGCCTGATGATTAGCTTGAAGCTCTGGTATGTCTACGTTCTTGATCCAAATCCCCGTCTCACAAACAAGGAGGATGCAAATCTTTTCATGGAGCCTGTCGTCTCCCAGCTACCATACATAGTCCACAAGTTTTGCCGAGAAGACCAGTCTCAATCGCATGGCGTTGAACCTCTCAAATGGGGACGTATTAAAGGAAACTACAGAGTCTCAGAATCAGGATTTACTGGACCGGTTGCAGTCAAGCTAATGGAAAGCCATTTACTTGGCGACGTTATAAAAGACAGCTTGGTCTTTACAGACGACACTATCATGTTCTGGAAGCGGGCTTATGCCATGGACCTTTACCAAGACCTTCAACTTTAAGTTATTCGGCTACTTATAAATCAGGCTTCTCCTTTGTGTGAATCTATTTTCTCGTTTGCCTTTGTTCTTAAGACGTTGAACGTTTTTTATGAATTCACGTGTTATCCTTTGTCGCACACATATTTGCTATTTGAAAACTTACCATTCCTCAATTATTATTTCTACCCTTAACTATTCCGAATTTTCTGGTGAGTGTGGTGCTGACCACACCGCCTCCACATTTGGTCAATGCTTGCCATGATAATCGTTAATTACAAGTCAGTAGATAACTAGTCTGTCGTTTATGTTAGTAGATAACATGGTTATGCCATGTTATGGTGGGGTTAACTAATCTGTCATTTATGTCTGTAGATAACTATTCTGTCGTTTATGCCATGGTAATCATTAATTACAAGTTCAATGTTAATCGCGTTCAATATTTTTATGGACATGGTTGAGTTAACATGGTCAATTGTCGTGATAGTTAAAATATTACTTGTGATAATGTCCACATACTCGCTACCATGCCTACCAGTTGCTTTCTGGTGGGAATGTCCACAACATATTTCTGGTTAGCAAGCCCAGTTATTTTTCTAATTCAAGCTTACAAGTCATGGTAATCGTTTACACCATGGTAATCGTTACTTACAAGTTCAATGTTAATCGCGCTCTATGTTTTTGTGGACATGGTTGGGTTAACATGGTCAATAGTCGTGATAGTTTAAATATTACTTGTGGTAATGTCCACATACTCGCTACCATGCCTACCAGTTACTTTCTGGTGGGAATGTCCACAACATATTTCTGGTAGGGTTACCAGTTATTTTTCTAATTCAAGCAAACATTCCCATTTTTCTAATTCAAGCAAACATTACCGTGCCTGTTTATTTAACCATGGATAGGTCCATATATATATATATATATATATATCTAGGATCCTATCCATTTACTTATGGGTGGATATCCATATATCTGATCAATTTGTCCATGGATACGTCTGTATATTCGATCAAATTATCAACTTTTTTCATATTATATACAGGCTCCTATCCATATACTTATGAGTGGATGTCTCCATATATTAT